ACCCTCAGTTTGTTTCCTGAGATTAAGAATTCCTCATATCAGTGAGGTCATATGATACATGTCTTTCTCTGATTGACTTATTTCGCTCAGCATAATACTCTCTAATTCCATTCTAGTCTCCCACCTTCTTTTGCTTCTTAAAACAAAACTGGATATAGGGGAGCTCCTGCCAGGGTTGTTGCAGCACAGAGATTTAGGTTTCATTCTGTGTCTGCAAAGCATGCGGGGTTCTCTATGGGATCTACAGCTGCAGTATGCTCTCTGCTTCCTTCTGTATGCACCCCTATTGATCCCTGCTGCGCTGAGGTGGGACTCCTCCACTGAATTTATGACTTGGGGCTTCAGTTGTCTCTTGGTTTTCCTGAAAATGAACTTGGTGTTTTTGTTTTCTATTCTTGTTGACATTGGACAGTTTCTGAGAGGAGAATGGGGAAGTGTTGATTTTAGACCATCATTTGCAAACTGGAAGACCTCCTTGTAAAGTTTTTTAATATTTAAAGTGAAAAATGTGGAGACTTTAATAATTGTTTTGATTTGTTAATGTGAAACAACTATAGACTTTAATACATTTATATATTTTATTCAGGAATCCCTAGAGGACTTATTTGGCAGATGAAATTTAGACAATTGTATGATTAAACAAATTACAGAAAACTGAGGAAATCTTATTAGCACAGAATTTTTTTTTACATTCCCCCCCCACCAAAGATTGTGAATACTATTTAAACACTGGTTAACTCTTGTAAGAAAACATCAAACTTTCAAATTTACTTATAAAAAGTATATATGGTTGAGGCATTTAAAAGCTAATAGAGTTAAGTTAGACTCCTGGGACCTTTTTATCATGAATTCACTTATCTCTGAATTCATTAACAATTTCAGTTTTATATGTCTGAATTGTAGATTCAGAGAATAGCTAAGTTATACCCTGGCCAAATCCCACCCCAGAGATGATATAGAAGGTGTATGGAATGATTTTTCACCTTAGAATTTTAAAATATAAAAACTCAAAGCATTGATACCTAGTAACCCACTTCTGGGTCCTGTATTTATGTGGTCATCTTATCAGTCTTCCCCAGAACACCCCTTTCTTTAATGGCATGTGTCCTTGCTTTTCTTTTTTTTTTTTTTTTAAAGGTTTTATTTATTTATTTGACAGAGAGAGATATAGCGAGAGAGGGAACACAAGCAGGGCGAGTGGCAGAGGGAGAAGCAGACTCCCCGCTGAGCAGGAAGCCCGATGCGGGACTAGATCCCAGGACCCTGGGACCATGACCTGAGCCGAAGGCAGACGCTTAACGACTGAGCCACCCAGGTGCCCCACGTGTCCTTGCTTTTCAAATATAGGACTTTGGAATTACTCCTTTTGTGTCTATTTTTATACCTTGCTCTTGGTGTAAGATTAGAAGTCCTAATCTTTCCCCAGATTTACACATTACTTTTATTGAAATTATATTTTACAATAAGTCACTTGTCAGGACTCACATACTTAGGCTTCAGGATGAAAAGGAACGAATGCTTAGCCTCTCTCTAGTTAACTAATAGGTGAAAAGGAGTGCTGTGCATTTGGGAAGGGAAGTGGAGAAAGTTGAAATGTACATACTCGTGTTTCCCTCTTCAAGTTACTCAGTCTTTCGTTTGCTGTTTAATTTTGGTGGATAGTTGTAGTTTTGGTGTTTGAGATAGATGAGGTGGAGAAGTGGAAGTGTTCAGGTATTTGGCAGAAGTGGAAGTGTCATTGTGTCCTTGGGAGAAGAACACAGTTATCTGAAGAAATAAACATACTGGCCGATTTTGGCCAGTTGTCTCCACACAGTATACCCAGTGGGACTCTGTTACAAAGGATAATTAAGGACCACGCAGCGTCATTTGTTATTTGGAATCATTCATTAAGGAGAAATCTTGTTCCTGTAAATTATGCCATATTGTTTGTTCCTCTTTCTCCTTTCTCTCAATAATGATGAAAATAGCATCAGAGCAGAGGTGGGCTCTGTGGAAAGATTTTATGTGTGTATCTTAATGAGAAGAAAATATATTCAAAATGCTTGACACAATAGCTGCTCAGTAAATAATCTATTTATTAAACTTTTTATTTTTGAACTAATTTTGAATTAATAGGAAGGTTCAAAGAGATATACAAGGGGGTCCCATTCAGTCTTCACCCAACCTCTCCTGATTTAACATCTTGTATTTTTATAGTACAATATCAAAACCAGGAAAATGACATCAGTACAATCCTAGAGCTTACTCTGATTTCACCAGATATGCAAGGCCTCGTGTGTGGGTATAACTCTGTGCACTTTTATTACATGTGTAGTTTTGTATAACCATCACAACTGAGATACCCGACTGTCCCATCACCACCCCAGCGGTTACCTGTTTATAGCCACACTCCCTGTTCTCCATCCATAGTCCCTGGCAGCCACAAATCTGTTCTCCAACTCTCTAATTATGTTATTTCACGAATGCTTTATAAATGGAACCATGCAGTATGTATCCTTTTGAGTTGTTTTGTTTTCCAAATCTCTTTGCTTTTTAGTTACAGTATTTTAATGCTATTGACTTTGGCTTTCTGGTGGTAGCACTTTGGCTTAGCAAAGAAAATGTTCACATTTTGTTTTGTCTTATTCAGTAGGTTTCACTTGCCAGCATGTAAGTCATGCTGTCAGTGTGAATCATGTGAAGAAAGCAATAGCTGAGAATGTGTGGTCAGTTTGCTCGGACTGTTTAAAAGAAAGAAAATTCTGTGATGGGCAGCCAGTACTTCCCTCTGACATATGGTTGTGCCTCAAGTGTGGTTTTCAGGTGAGAAGTGTGATTTTTATATGTGAGTTTGTCTTAAATATTTTTCTTAAATGCTTATTGTGAGTTGGACTGTTGATAATGTTTAGAACTTAAAATAAATTTATTCCTGTTTAGATAGAACTCTCCAAGGCTCAACTTAGAAATATTAGTTAAGGTAAAATAAAAGGAATATTGTATTCAGAAAGTAACCACATGTGGTTTAGAAATACTTTGAAAGGGAATCCAACCTACTTGCAGTAGTTCTCACATCTGGACCTGCCTTTACCTATTTGTATTTACTTACGAAATGGATCCAAATTTTTTTACATCTTACTAGATTAATTTTTTTTTCTCTCTATGAAAGGATTCTTTTTTTTTAAATAATTTTTAACAGCTTAGAAGCTATTAATATCTGTAATATTTTTTGAAAAACATTTAAGATGTTTTAATTTTAATCAATTTTAATTGATGTCTACAATTTTTCTAAAATAAGAGGAATCCTTATTATCTCACATAGTTCGTAAGTAGGACCACATCAGGATTAGTTAATTCAATGAAAAGAACATTGAAAACTGAGCTTTCTTCCATTTTTCTTTTGTCCACCCTCAATTTCATGGCTTTTTATGGCCAAAGATATTTCATGCATTATATATCATACAGCCATCCCCAAGGCCAGAAAGAGGGCAAAAAGGACATCCCTTTCCTGTTTTTGTTTCAATTTTTAAGTATGTGAAACTTTTCCCAGAAACATCTAGCAGACTGCCCCTCATGTTGCATTGACCAGAACTGGATCTTATTTCTTTACTTACCTGGTGAGGGAAATTACTGTGATTGGTCTGAGTCTCATTAGTTGCCAGTGGGTTTGGGTGGAGGTGTGGACGATTTTAGAAAATGTGTGCAAAGGAGGAGGGCACTGGTCTGCGAAGATGCTCGGTGCCCCACAGTGTGCAAGGCAGAGAGTGTATACATTTTTAAATAATAGGGAAATGAACTCAGCTCATGATTGTTTTAGGCAAATACTATATAACAAAAAGCAAGTTAGCCTCTTTGCAAGAAATTAAATTTAATGAGAATCTATATTATTTTCTGAAACTTTTCCCTCCTGTTTGAAATTAAAAACCAAAACTTTTTTAATATGAGTATGATTTAAGTTTTGATTAATTTGAAACAAACTTACATGTAAATTGTACAAATAGCATTCTGTTCATCTTTAGGGATGTGGTAGAAACTCAGAAAGCCAACATTCACTAAAGCACTACAAGAGTTGGAGAACAGAATCTCATTGTGTTACAATTAGTCTGAGCACATGGATTATATGGTAAGTTAGATTTTATTACTACTTGTGTCCACTACAAAAAAATATCATTTTCTTTGAGCTTTGCTAAGTAAGATATTTAAAGATGTTATACCCCCCTTACACTTTTTAGCCTGAACATAACCTGTGGAATACTTTAAGAAAAGTAACATTACCCATGAATATAAAATTTAAATAAGGAAAAATTTAGTCATCCCTCTACTTTTTTTTTTTTTTAAACATTTTCTTCATAGGATAAAGAAACATTCTTCATAGTTGATTTTTCATAATGAACTTGCTAATACAGAATTCCAGAGTTCTAGAGAAGGAAGGTACTTCAAGCAGTCAGGTGGTTTGGTGATTCCCTGGAGGGGAAAGGGTAAGCCTGGGCATATGCAGTGTGTAAAAACTGCTCGGGTGTTTCTACTACTTAATCCTGGCTGGGAACCAAGTCCAGTTCCCTCATTTTACATATAAAGACACTGGTTACAAAGTAAACATCCAGTCACTAAAACAAGTCTTTTGATTCCCTAGTTTCTTAGGAGCTCAGTTGGTTATTTCTTTTTTTTTTAAGTTTTTTATTTTTTTTATTCATTTGAGACAGAGAGATAGAGAGCGCGAGCAGGGGGAGGTTCAGAGGGAGAGGGAGAAGCCCACTCTCTGCTGAGCAGGGAGCCGGGTGTGGGACTCGATCCCAGGACCCTGGGATCATGACCTGAGCCGAAGGCAGAGGCTTAACCATCTGAGCTACCCAGGCGCCCCTTTTTTGGTTATTTCTAATGGAAACAAGTAGAATTAATTTATGTTGAGCTGTCCTCTTTTCTCCAATTCACTGCCATTGTGTGGTTTTTATTCACATTTTCTTTTTGTACTCTTAAAGTTACAATACATTTTATAGCAAGTAAAAATTAAATTGCAGCATCAGTAAAAATTTCTTGACATTTCAATATTTTGCAAATGAGCAATTTTTATTATTTTTGGCAATAGTTATGTCAGTAAATTTTGAGGGTTTATAATAGTGTAAACCTGGTAATTCTACATTGTTTGAATTCTGTCATGGTCTATTAGAAAAGATGTTTTGGGAATGTTTTCTGTGACTTGTTTCCTTCACAGATTTATCTATGTATCTATGTATTTCTGTATGCAAGTGATAGAGTAATATTTGTATTTTGAGTATGAGTAAATATTTGACTGAATTTTGAGTGCTATTTAGAAAAAGAATCCAAACCTAGTTTATAGCCATTAATCTCAGGACCCCTATTAATTATAAGAAGATTGTGAATATGTAAGGTGGTATTGGTATAACACATTATACTTTCAATATGTTCAAATATATGTTTTTATTTGACCATTGGATCTTATGAAGTTAAAGGAAGCAGGTAATGATAATACATAGAAGAAATCTTTATTAATACTATATGCACTAATGAGTAAACTTAGTGGAAGGTAATTTTCTAAAAAGTAATGTGCTTTGAAAATCTCTTTGGGAGCTCTCTCTTCCCAACTAAGCCCCAAATAAAACAAAACACTACCCAGTCTTCCCCATCTCTATAAGTGGCACCTCCATCACTTAAGTATTCAGGCCAGAAACCTAGCACTTACTTTCTTTCCCTTTTTATCTTAATTTTTAATCCTTTAACAAAAGTAGACAAAATGGTATAATGAAATCCTCCATACCCATCACCCAACTTTAAACATTCCCAACTTGCAGCAAGTCTTTCCTCTAGACCAGAATTTCTCAATCTCAGTACTGTCGTCATTTGAGCTGATAATTCTTTGTTGCAAAATTCCTCCTGTTTGAGAATCACTGACTTACCCTCATCCACTTCCCTCATTCCATGGCAGTTATTTTTATACTTCTCTGTTTCTACCTGAAATTTCTGTAAAATAAATCTGTTCATTTTTCTCCAGATCTCCTGCTTCTACCCTGACCTTCTATTCCTGATTCCCTCCATCTGACATTAGTCCGAGTGATGTTTTTAAGATATAGATTGGATCACATCACTCCCCTCCTTAAAAAAATCCTCATGGCTTTCCATTACACTTAGGATAAAGTACCAGAACTTTAATTTGAATGATAAGGCTCTGTATGAACTGTCTCCTGCTTATTTCTCTAGACTTACCTAATGCCTCACTCTACATGTATACTTTTTGCCCCACCCCACCCCACCCCAATTTAAAGACAAGACTGGATAAATATCAACTTTATTACTTTATTACCTGGTGTGCAACATTATTGAAGATGCTTTCATAATATCGGCTTACATATTTGTATTTTTTCAGGTGTTATGAATGTGATGAAAAATTATCAACACAGTGTAATAAGAAGGTTTTGGCCCAAACAGTTGATTTTCTCCAGAAGCATGTTTCTAAAACACAAACAAGTAAGTTAAGCAGTTGCCAAAGAAATTTGTATTAACGTATGATATTTTATATTTCATATAGAGAGTTTGTAAATTCATAAATAATACCTTAGATTTTGCTGAGACCTTTCTGCACAAGTGCCATGCATTCTTAGGTAGTAATCTTGTGATGTTATCTTGTGTTGTATTTACGTAACTAATATGAGAAGCTAGAGAGGATAGTGACTAGATCTTGGGCTTCTGAGTCAAACAGTGCTGAGTTTGAATTCAGGCTCCACTTAAATTACTTATTGTCTGTGTGTCTTTTACTTCTTAGTTTACTTACTTTAAAAATTAGGATGATCATTCCAATGTGTGGGGTTATTGTGAGGCTTAGAGATAATGTGTTCTAAACATTTAGAAATAATGTATGTAAAAATGCTTGCACGGTGCCCAACACGTATTTATGAAGTGGCATCTATTCTTTGTTACGTAATCATAGTGCGGTTCTGACGCTAGCCACCCAGAGTTAGGCTAACCTTACAGATTAAGGGCTTGCTTAGTCCCACACAAGATTGCCCTCACTTCAGACACCATCCTCAGGCTCCTGCATTTTCAGGCCGTCCACATTTCTGACAAACTGGCTATAAATTTAGGGGTTCCCACTACCCTTCTTAGGTTCAGTAATTTGCTAGAATGACTCAGAGAACTCAGGAAAGTCCTATAGTTAAAATTATAGTTTTACTATAGCAGAAAAAAGATACAAATCAGGACCAGCCAAAAGAATATACACATTGGGCAAGGACTAGAAAAGTCCCAAACATGAAGCTCCTGTATCTTCTTTTTGTGGGGTCAGGATACATCACCTTCCCGGCACATTGATGTTTATCATACACACAGAGTATTGTTAACCAGGAAAGCTATCTGGAGCTGTGGTGTCCAGAGTTTTTAATTGGTGTTTTATTGAATAGGCACCAGTGCTTGACTCATTGGCCATGTGATTGAACTCAGTCTCCGGTACCTCAACCCTCTAATCACATGTTGGTCTTTCTGGCATGGCTAGCTGCCATCCTGAGTAATCTTATTAGCATAAACTGTCTAGGGGCCCACCAAGAGTAAGAAAGACACTCCTGACCCTCTGGAGATCCCAGGATTTAGGGGTTACTTCTCAGGAACCTGGTACAAAAGGCGGCCAAATCCGTTATTATTCAGTAGTAATGTATTATATGTTATATACTTCATTGACTATGTATGTTGTTACCTAACATATAAACAATATATAATACATGTTGATCTAAATGAAGAGTATATAGGGAAGCAGTTTCTTCATTCAGAAATATTAAGTGCCTACCACATGCTGGGTTTTATACTTTATTCAATATTAGTGATAAAACAAAAGAACAGTTTTATATTGCTCTCTTGGGGTATACAGTATAGTGGGAGAGACAGACAAAAAAAAATTTATATATAAACTTCTGATATGTGCAAAGGAAAAGAAGAGATTGCAGGGATAGGTAATAATCTAGTGGTCACAGTGATCAAAAAAGGCCAGTATAGCTGGAGTATGGTTTGCTGGGAGAGGGTAGAATGAAATGAGGAAGTGAGTGGGGAAAAAAAAAGTGAGTGTGGGAGTTCATGAAGGATACTGTAAGGAATTCCATGGTAAAGAATTTTTATTTTATTGGAAGTGTAATGGAAGCTATTAAAGTGTTTTAAGCAGGGGAGTAACGTCATTTCATCTTTTTTAAATAACATTATTCTAATTGCTGTATGGACGGTTGGAGTTAAGAGTTGAGGTGAGGAGATCATTAAGGTTAGAGGACGTTGTTGTGGTAGGGCGGGTGAGAAACTAGCAGAGGCACTGGTGGAAAGTGGGTGGATTAGATGTAGTGAGTGAGGGAGAGTGGGAAGAATCCATACTCACCTTGGGGTTTTGGTACTAGGTGAAAGGGTGAATGGACATGATAATTTTGAAATGCCTTTGGTGCAGAATTGAACTGCTTAGCAGGTGGCATTCAGAAACTGAAAAATTACATTAAAATATACTAGTCGTCAGCTATATTTTCTTTTTTTTTTAAGATTTTATTTATTTATTTGACACAGAGAGAGAAAGCACAAGTAGGCAGAGAGGCAGGCAGAGAGAGAGGGAGAAGCAGGCTCTCCACTGAGCAGGGAGCCGGACGTGGGGCTCGATCCCGGGACTCCAGGATCATGACCTGAGCCGAAGGCAGCCGCTTAACCGACTGAGCCACCCAGGCGCCCCTATCAGCTATATTTTCTATAGCCCAATATACAAGTGTTTCTGTTAGCTATTGCTCGAGACAATGATAGCGGACAAATTGGCAAAGGAACTGGAGGAGGTCAACACAGGTTCCAGACAGAAGAAATGATTAATTTTTTTCACTCATTTATTTATTTAACAAACATGTATTAAAACCTTACTCTGTCCCAAGCATACTAGTCATAGCTCCAATTCTGCCCAAATAAAGAACCAGGAAAATATGGTGATGATAGACATTTAACACTTCAGGAACAGCTGTTGGTCTTAATGCTGCCTCCTGAAAACTGCACTTTTTTTAAAGATTTTATTTATTTGTTTGTTTATTTACTTATTTATTTGAGAGAGAGAGAGAGTGAGAAACAGCATGAGAGGGGAGAGGGTCAGAGGGAGAAGCAGGCTCCCCGCTGAGCAGATAGCCCGATGTGGGGCTCGATCCCAGGACCCTGGGATCATGACCTGAGCCGAAGGCAGTCGCTTAACCAACTGAGTCCTAGGCGCCCCTGAACACTGCACATTTAATGTGCTTTTTTGGCCACAATAAGATATGTAGGGGTATGATGCCAGGGGTGGCCAAAGTACAATTATAGAAAATATTTTATCTGGATTTTTTTTTTCCATCTTAGAGGTTCCTTGAGGTTAAGGATAAAGACAGTCTGATTTCATTCCATTTTTACAGATTTCTTGAATTTATTATCATAAAGGATATAAGGTAGGGAGCATGGAACGATATGGTAGAAAGAACATGGGCTTTGTCACGGTGTGGGGTTGGGCATTCAAATTTGACTCTTTCAGTCACTGGCTATTTGACCTGGGGCAGGTTACGGTTCATCTGACCCTCATTTTCCTCAGCAGTTCCTCCCTCTTTTCCGTGGTATTTCAGGGAGTAAAGACTGATAAGACAGTTCCTATCCTAAAGAATAATGGTAAGCAGAATAGAGTTGTATTCTGAGTGCTGTTCAAACAAAGTTCTTTAGATACTCAAAAAGGGGGGCGCCTGGGTGGCTTAGTCGTTAAGCGTCTGCCTTCAGCTCAGGTCATGATCCCAGGGTCCTGGGATCGAGCCCCGCATCGGGCTCCCTGCTCGGCAGGAGGCCTGCTTCTCCCTCTCCCACTACCCCTGTTTGTATTCCTGCTTTACCTGTCTTTCTCTGTCAAATAAATAAATAAAGTTTTCAAAAAAAAAATAGATACTCAAAAAGGTTATAATGTTCAATTGAAAAGGACTTGAGAAAGAATCGTGAATGAGTTGGCTTTCAAGCTGACCCTTAAAGGAAGAATTTTGGATAGGTAGAGATGAGAAAAGCAATGATTTCAGGTAGTGGGAAGCACCGGTGTAACCCTTAATTGTGTTTATGGAACCATGGGTAGCACCTGGAATAATGGGAAACAGGTTCTTGAGGGAGTTTGAGTGTGTGTCGAGCCTTCAAAGTTAGGGAGAGACATAGCCCTGAATTCAAGGTTTCCAGAAGTTCCAGGTCAAAATGTCATTATCCTTGTGTTCCAAGCTACAATATCTCTCAGGCAAGTTTGATTTAAAATAAGATCCATTGGCATTCTAGAAGTAAGTTTTTTTGGGATAGTAATCTGCAATATTCTTTCTTGCATGAGGCTTTATTTTTATAAAATACATTAAAAATCAGATATGAAAGTAGCTATTGAGGTTTGTAGGAATGCTGGATTATGATTATGCAGCTATTAAATGCTAATTGTGAAGACTGTTGAAATATAAAAATGTCTGAATATGGCAATTCAAAAAGAGTATGAAACTATTGTGTTTTAGGCGGGAGGATAAGAATGGTTTTAAAGGATTCTTTTTATATTTTGCTCTAAGAAAACTGCTGAGAAAAGCCTGTACCTGTACCTTACACATGTCGTTAAGTTACGCAAAGCCTGAGCAGTTTCATGTCTAATACATCTAATTTAGCTACTCTGCACAGAGAATCTTGGCCAGTGTCCCATCCATTTGTAAATACCATCAGCTCAGTGAATCTCAGCTTTTGGTCTCAGTAGCCCTTTAGATTCTTAAAAAAATTAGTGAGGACGTAAAGAGTTTTGCTTAGGTGGGTTATACCTATCAATATTTATCATGTTAGAAATTAAAATAAAAAATTACAATATTTATTAAATCACTGAAAAATAGCAATAATTTCCATGACATGTTAACACAGTGTTTTTAGGAAAGATAACAAGTTTGTAAAACAACACAAACTTAGTAAGTGGCATTTACATTTTTATAAATCTCTTTAGTGTCTAGCTTAATAAAAACAATAATTGTATTCTCTCTACTTCTGTATTCGTCTATGATATGGTGTATAGTCTCTGGAAAATGCATTATATAACAGAATGAATGAAAGTAAAAGCAAATAATATCCTAGGCTTACTATGAAAATACGTTTGACCTTAAGGACCTGGGAAAGGAGGAGGGTGTCTTCAGATCCACTTTTAGAACTGCTGAACTAGCACATTTCTGTCTGTATTTTCTGTCTTCAACCTTATTTGCCCTAAGCACATCCTATTTCAAGGACACTTTCCCAGTCTTTTACCTTATCTTTTCTACTTATGTGCAGCATACCTTAGAATCTAAGAACACATGGTTTTGTGGTGTTTAGTTTTCTTGTATATGTGTGTCTTTTTAAAAATATTTTTAAAATTTAAATTCAATTAATTAACATATAATGTATTATTGGTTTCAGAGGTAGAGGTCAGTGATTCATCAGTCTTAGATAATACCCAGTACTCCTTACGTCAGGTGCCCTCCTTA